CCTATTGGTCTCTGTTAATAATCGCTGATGAAGAAGCATTTCGATGACTCTCTGATGAAAATCTACGTACGCTTTTCGTAGATTTTGCAATTAACGGTGCACAGAATAGCTCCCGTAGCAATTTACAATGCTTGGATTTGCTAGACTGTAACGGTGAAGAATTGCCCTTGAAAATTTTTGAAATTCCCAACTTTCTTCGGAAAATTCTTGCACAGTGATGTGAAGCTTTCGACTAAAAATTTCGTCCTTTTAAGGAACAGTAGAGCAGATTAAACTCGTTGATTCACGGTTGAACGATTGTCGAGTGTTGGAAGTAAGGGGAGAGAATTGCGTTTCGATGAAACGTTTGAAGAATAATCGAACGAGGACGCAGGAAGTGGCGTACAATACACAAGAGCGGTATTTTCGCCGTGCTTAAACGGTCTGTCATTACGAAAATTGTCGCTAGTAATGGGGCAAGGCCGACGAATACGCCGGCTGAGGCAGCCTTGACCAGGGGTGGTGAGATGAGACGCGAAAATTGAATTCTTGCAGAATTCGATCGGCCTCCTCCGCGAATAGAAGTTCGCCCTCCGTACTCGTAAAGCCGAGCATAACTCTTCTTTATTGGTGACAAGATTGGAGCGAGCAATTTTATTCGTACACCGATCTCGGAAGCTTCGATTGCCACGCGTCCTCTGTTTCTTCCTTTGCAATTTCTTTGGTCGAACTATCTATAGCCTGGTTCGATTATTTTTTCCAGATTAATTAAATGCACGTTTTAATCAGTTGAAACCTTTTCCATTTGCGTCCAAAGAAAGCACGCGATTCTGTTCTCGCGTTTCTACGTACAGTATCTTTAGTCGAACTGTCTATAGGCTGTTTCAATTATTTTTAGTCCAGCTGGCTATAGGCTGTTTCGATTTTTTTTCAAGATTATTTCAAACTTTCTGCTTACGTCCAAAGAAAGTGCGCAATTGTGTTCTCTTGGTTGTACAGTATTTTTAGTCGAACTGTCTATAGGCTGTTTCGATTATCTTTAGTAGAACTATCTATAGGCTGTTTCGATTATTTTTTCAAGGTTTTCTGAAACTTTCCACTTATGTCTGAAGAAAGTGCGCGATTCTGTTCTCTTGTTTGTACGTACAGTATCTTTAGTCGAACTGTCTATAGGCTGTTTCGATTTTCTTTAGTAGAACTATCTATAGGCTGTTTCGATTATTTTTTCAAGGTTTTCTGAAACTTTCCACTTATGTCCAAAGAAAGCCCGCGATTCTGTCGCCTGAGAAACGACGAATCAAAGATTTCCACGCATTTTCAAAAAAATACTCCCGATTTCGCAATACCGAAGCTCGTCTTAAAGAGCTTGCAGTAGAACTATCTATAGGCTGTTTCGATTATTTTTTCAAGGTTTTCTGAAACTTTCCACTTATGCCCAAAGAAAGCCCGCGATTCTGTCGCCTGAGAAACGACGAATCAAAGATTTCCACGCATTTTCAAAAAAATACTCCCGATTTTGCAATACCGAAGTTCGTCTTAAAGAGCTTGTACTCGAAACAAAAGCGAACCACGCCGGTTAATACTGGACGAGGCGCACATTAGCGTCAGCAAGGGAAGCCGTAGAGAAGCAGCTCTCGAAGCGATTGATTGATCTCGAGTCGGCTGGTGAACGAAGCTTCGACGCGGTTTTCGTTCAAACACCGCTCGATGATCTTTTGATTAGCGCCGATCCACACTCGAGGCTCGAACGTTAGTTGGCAAAGTGCGAAACCGGTGCGGTGTGGTTGGATGAGGTTCGAGCAACGAGTGAGTGGGCCCATTAGCGCGTGCTGCAAGAGGCCTTAGCCGATCTCAAGGACGTTCTGAACAACGTTCGAGTTTATCGTAAACAGGCCTAACTGGGTTAATGCACATTTGCATTAGCGTGCACATCGCTGAATAACGTTCGGATATGACCACCGAAGCGACCCTGCAAATTGGACTTGAAGAGAGCTCGTATACAGAGGAAGAGTATCTTTTATTGTCTGTTTTCCTTTATTTCTGTTTAGCCTATTGATTCGGTGAATTACGTTAGTTCAGCAGAGACGTATGAATTTCTACGATCGAATCTCTTCGTTGAAACTTGGGAAAGATTGGATTTTATTCTCGAACGAAAGGGAGAAACGCCGAGAAGTCTCTTGTCAGATCGGAAAGTTCATCTGTCGAAGACAATGTTTGCATAAACTGTGACCACGAGCAAGCGTGAATCTGCTCTTCTGCTCGTGAGTATGGTTAGTATGCGTGCACACGAACGAACGGACATCGATCGATACGGTGTACTTGGTCGCCACAAACTGTCCATGCACTACAAGCCAGCGGGTTATCGCCGCGACGTGGCTTCAAGTCTAAGGTCAGAGCTATTTCAGAAAGACTTTGCCTTCGTAGAGCCACGGAAATCGAATGAAAAGTATACTTACACCGTTGCTAGCTCGATTTCTCTGCCTTACATTCGTGTCATCTTTCGACGGAAAAAATATACTCAAACGTGTAATTATTCTATTCGTTGGTTGAAAAATTCTCACAGTTGAAGCAACATTTATAACGCGTGAACAACTGGAAAAATATCGGAACGAAAGCAAGGTAGCAAAAATAGGCAGGGAAAAAAAAGGGGACAGAGGTGAAAATTTCGTTAGCCTTTTGGCCTATAGAACGTCAGAATCCATCCAGGCACTTTTCAATCAGCTTCGCTGCTGCATACACGCCTCATAATCAAGTAACGGCCGCTGGCTTTTGCCAAATTAGACGTTCAAATTTGAAATTCAAATCGATGCAGACTGGCAGCCAAATCAATTTAGCGTATCGTCTGGCCTCGACAACGTCGAATCTCATCGGCGTACACTCTCTGTTCGCGACCTCGTTGCATCCGTCGTCACTTATAAACACTTCCGAGATAGAACTCGTTTGACACGTCTCCCTTATCTCCGTAATCGTTCCTTTCGATTATGTGTGTTGGTATTAATTATTCACAAACGGAGAGATATCGGATGGAACTCGAGCCTTCGGAAACTTTCCCAGACGTTCCCTTTGTGGTAAATTTGGGAGACTCCCGCAACGTCGTTGGTCGGTTGGATTTGGACTTTACGAATAGATTTTGAGGACCAACGAGAAAAGAGTACCGCAGCAATCTATGAGGATCCAGACGGTTTCAGGAAAAAGACAATTAGAACGTATTCGAGGTCAAATGCAATGTCACAAAACCCCTGCGAAAGTAGAAGAAAGCTAATACTGGTTTGATCGAAGATCTTGAAAAAAAGGACACCTTGTGGTTACAACTTTTAAACAAAGCTTCAAACGACCTACGTTCGTATGACATTTTTTTCTCACACATACCCATAGAATATGCTGGCAAAGTTTGATCGAAATCAATTTTGTCACCCGGTATGCAACTTCTAACCTGATTGCAGCCTTACTTAGAACGTACTCGAGGTCAAACGTAATGTCAGAATGGCTAAACTGTAGTGGATTTAGAAGAACGACAGAAAACCTGTACGAAAGTACAGGCAAGCGAAAACTAGTTTCAGCGAAGATAGCGAAAAAAGGGACACCTTGTGGTTACAACTTTCAAACAAAGCTTCAAACGACCTACGTTCATATGACATTTTTTTCTCACACATACCCATAGAATATGCTGGCAAAGTTTGATCGAAATCAATTTTGTCACCCGGTATGCAACTTCTAACCTGATTGCAGCCTTACTTAGAACGTACTCGAGGTCAAACGTAATGTCAGAATGGCTAAACTGTAGTGGATTTAGAAGAACGACAGAAAACCTGTACGAAAGTACAGGCAAGCGAAAACTAGTTTCAGCGAAGATAGCGAAAAAAGGGACACCTTGTGGTTACAACTTTTAAACAAAGCTTCAAACGACCTACGTTCATATGACATTTTTTTCTCACACATACCCATGGAACAAGTTGACAAAGTTTGATCTAAACCAATTTTTACACCCGGTATGCAACTTCTAACCTGATTGCAGCCTTACTTAGAACGTACTCGAGGTCAAACGTAATGTCAGAATGGCTAAACTGTAGTGGATTTAGAAGAACGACAGAAAACCTGTACGAAAGTACAGGCAAGCGAAAACTAGTTTCAGCGAAGATAGCGAAAAAAGGGACACCTTGTGGTTACAACTTTCAAACAAAGCTTCAAACGACCTACGTTCATATGACATTTTTTTCTCACACATACCCATGGAACAAGTTGACAAAGTTTGATCAAAATCAATTTTGTCACCCGGTATATACAATTTCTGACCAGAATCTGGCCTTCAGCGACGAGTTCACTTTCTCTACCTATTTCTTCTTTCTCTAACCAACCGCTGCATGCTAATAACTTATCCGAGGAGAGAAAGTGTAATCGCGATAAGATTGAAGCAACGTCCTTCGCTCGTCGCGATACATCTCCGCAATCAGTTAGTCATCGACGTGGACGTTCCGTTATGTTCCACCCTGGTGCTGTGGATTCACGGTAGCGCAGATACCGGCTGGTTTGGCATAACGTTACCATAACTCCTGCTTATTGAGCCCCATTACGCGGCAATCTAGAATAATGATCGTAATATACAGAATTTCCAGGCTGTTAATATCCGCGGGACAATCGAACGGGGAATCTGCGTGATAGGCGTAACGCGAGATATCGCGTTGCCTTTCAAATTCATTCGCAAGGATTAAACGTGTATTACCCGCAGAAAATTCTCTCGTTCGAGTTTATCGCGATTCGATACGATCGTTGAATCAGCGAGCTGCTTAATTTCTCCCTTTCTACGGAATTCGCTGCGGGAATATTTTCGTAACTCGAGAGTAACGCGACAAAGAGCGGCGTGTGCTGCGAGACAGAACGAGGGTTCTTGAACGGTGCAAAGTCAAGCCAGTCGAAACTTTACTTTACCTTGCCTTCAACTTCCGCGAAACTTCACCTTAGACTGTATACTCTCTGTTTTACCCGATTAGTAAACCCTTCTGTTCTCGTCTTCTCTTTTCCAGGAAAGTGATCACGCTGTCGATCGTTGAGGAAGACTCGTACGAGAAGGACGCGCTGTTCTACGTGGAGCTGGGTGAGCCGCTGTTGCAAGGAGGTGAGCATTTTGTTGGTTAATCGCTCGAACAGTGCCGTTTTCTTCCACGATCGATGAAACTTCACTCTTGCGGGACACGCTCGTGTGTGAAACGAAGAGACGTTTCCAGGCGCGAAAGAATTCTATTCGTCTCGCTGTCTCAGAGACTCGGGAAATCCCCTTTTAATAAGGTCGAGAAGTAACCGAGAGTTGACTGCCACGGTGGTTTTCGTCTCGCTGTCTCAGAGACTCGGGAAATCCCCTTTTAATAAGGTCGAGAAGTAACCGAGAGATCGAAGCGTAACGAGATTTAACACGTTGACTGCCACGGTGGTCGTATGTGACCGCAGATTGTTTCTCCTGTAGCGCCACGGTGGTCATCGGTGACCGGAGTGCTTCAAATGTTTATAATTGTAAAAGTTGAACGAACATTGACAGTTGATGAATTTTGAACATCATCGCTGATTAGAGAATATTTTGAAATAAAGTGTGCACTATTCAGCAATTAAAAATTTTTACTAGAAGATAAAAAATGAGAGATTAATTTTTATCAAATCTTCTATCTACCGGTGTATTGTATTAAAGCATTTCAAGCATAGATGCGGTTGATCGATACAGTCTGGGCAGTATGTGGTAACCTTTTTGGTCCAATTCTTAGCAATCTTTGCTCTAAAACTTGCAAAATTTTTTTGATAACATTCTTTGCGTTTGGTCCAATTCTTAGCAATCTTTGCTCTAAAACTTGCAAAATTTTTTTGATAACATTCTTTGTGAAATTTTCGCACCAGGTATGCTGGCCCTTCCTTTTTCCGCATCTCATGTCGTAATTTTCTTCGGATAGATATATTTGATGGCTCTGGTGTAAATAAATCAAATCGGTCACCCGTGACCACCGGAAAGATAAACGCCCCATGGGTAAGAATGTTGTCTTATACAACCATATTTATTATTATTTTGCCATTATATGCTTGGAATAATAAAAATACTTTCGTGGCGTCCTGAGCGAAACATGTGATTTCGGCGTGGCAGTCAACGTGTTAAATAACGCCGCGCCGCGAGGGAGGGAACGAAGAATGTCGAGGAAGGATACGGGAACACCGAGGGAGGAGTGACTCGGAAAAGTGTTCGAACTTACCGAGAATGTTTTAATTGAATAACCGTGTTCCCGTTCTACTTGCTCCCTTTTTTCCCCATTCACGGCAGTTGGTCGATTGGCGAAAAGGGCGACGACTCTTCTTTTATTTTTCTCGATAGAACGGGGAAACAAGAGGAGGAAGAAAGAGTCGCGGCTTACATTTCCGTGTTGCACCAACGGTGATCTTTGTGGTTTTTCCTTGTGTAATTTCCCTGATTGAAAGAAACCCCGAGAAGCCATTGAAGCGGGTTATTCTACGTATTTATCTCGTCTGGTAAACAAGGTTATTATGATGCAGGCCGTTTCATAGCGGTTTTCTAGCTATTCGAAGCTTGTCTGACCATAAACGTGTCACTTTCACTTGCACCGTCTCTTTTCTCCTCTATATTTTTCTATACGAAATCTTCACTCGATTGGCTAACTTACTTTAGATACAATCAGTTCGACGATCGAATGCGACTGGAAAGAGACCTTGGTCGGTCTAATTGCACGAAATCAGGCGCAGGCATCTAATGAGCATAGCTGATTGGACGAATGCAAAGTGGCCGTTACGAAACGATCGCTCGTCCTTGATCCAGAGGACGGGTGGTCGTTGAAAATAGGCCAATGGCGTAGGAAAAAAGATGGTCGGAAAATTAAGGGCAATCGTGACGGACGAGATCGCCTTCCTGGCTTCTCGACACTCTGGGATTTCGGTTTAAGGTCACACGCGTTTACCGTGGCAATTAGCATTTCTTCCAGCCGATAGATTATTCGCGCTGCAGTTTCGGTTATGTGTATATATTCGTGGATGATCGCGTTCGATTGTTTTTCCCGCGGAAACGATAAATCTAACTAGAGTGTGCGGTACACGAGTGATTAGAGACGGGGTTATCGATCGGGGAAGAAAAATGGGAAAAACGCGCGACGTCGACGACGTCCTTCCGTCAACTGATTTATCGCCTGGCGGCGAAACAAAAGGAGAATAGCACACGTTGACACGTGTACAGCCTTTCTCGTGATCAAACAAGATTAATCTTTAATTGTGTAACCTGCTTCACGCATTTGCGACTACTGGATCCAACGGGATTGAACGTAAGTCTCGAGCGAACGGAAGCATTTAGTTGTACCCCTTATATCGATTTGCTATCCCTCGCTATCCGCTACGTTTCACTCTGTAACAAACGACGTAGAATTGGTTAACCAGTAGGCGCTGTGCTGTGCAAACCGAGCTCGTAATGGCGCAGATACGTTACAATCTTTACGGAGAGTAACTGCCTTGTGTATATACGTATACCGGTCCCGTAACTCTACCTGTTCGCTTCCAGCGCTGTATATGTACACTTGCTGCTGTGCATTAAGCCCGGTACGCACTTGGTATTTTGGTAAAATGCGAATTTCAGGTTTTGAGATTCTCTAGAAAGACTACTCGCTGTTTGGGTTGCGCATTAAGCCCGGTACGCACTTGGTATTTTGGTAAAATGCGAATTTCAGGTTTTGAGATTCTCTAGAAAGACTACTCGCTGTTTGGGTTGCGCATTAAGCCCGGTACGCACTTGGTATTTTGGCAAAATGCGAAGTTTAGATTTTGAGATTCTCCAGGGAGAGACTCGCTGTTTGGGTTGCGCATTAAGCCCGGTACGCACTTGGTATTTTGGCAAAATGCGAATTTCAGGTTTTGAGATTCTCTAGAGAAATGTGCTGTTTGGGTTGTGCATTAAGCCTAGTTCGTACTTAACCCTTTGCGATCCTATGTCGAGTTATATTGAAACTGAATATTTTGTATTTAATATTACGCTGAAATATCGAAATAAGGGCAAACTACACGGTACTGCACGACAGTGGCAAAATGACTACGTATAACCGGACTATTCGGACCGCAAAGGATTAAGACTCTCAAGTTTAGAGTACTATGGTTCCATACTACCCCTGAAGGATAAAATTCCTCTAAACATCCACTGTTTCAACTGTGAATCACGAGAAAAGGTTCAAAGAACATCGCTATCGGCAAGCACAAACAGCGTTCCATAGAAGCACGCGTGAAACAGCCTTAACGAGGCACGAGAAGTGGCTATCTGTAGGGTCCGCGTAGCACACGCGAATTCCACGAAAGTGCCGGACGATGTATTGGATAACGCGGCTCTTTAGCAACGGGGCTCGTTCACGTCGTGTCGCCAGGCCGGACATCGATTCCCAGCATTCTCGTGACACCGATTGCGCGGCAATAACGCGACGAAAACCCATCGAGAAGTGGAGAGGCTGGATGTGTGGATGGGTTGCTCGAATCCGTGGAGCGATGTTGGTCACGGTGACTCGATTCGCCGGACTCGCGAACACAGTCCCTTTCCAAAGAAGGGGAATGGCATCGCGCCGGTTCGCTGCTGCTGTTCGAGGACTTCT